AGATAGAACCTTACACCCGGAAGTAGAAGCACGAGGATAGGAGAAATCTAGTTAAAATTTAAAGAAAAATACTGTAACATATATTAAAAATTAAAAAGGAGGGCAGCGGCTAAAGATCGGGAGCAGCACAAAGTATAACAAAGGAAGATAAAGGGTAGTGGAATAGTAGGGCTGTGAAAGGGATCAGAAAAAAGAGAAAATAAGTCGATAAGGTAGATAAACCCAGGCTGGAACGCACCAGGCTAGCCGGTGCGATCATGCGTTTTTGCACGATTTCTTGCGGGCGTTCAGTGCTGTGCTGATACAATTATCTTTTATTTATTTAATTTATTCCTTTAACAGCATTATCAGTAATTGGTAGACCACATATGCGTTATTTACGTTAGTGATTTTTTTGAAATTCAAATTATCACAGTGATGGCTTCATTCATTGTGCTCATTTCCCAGTGAATCTCTGTGTTCCTCCGCTACGCATCGTGGGATAGAATTGTGCTTCCTGAATATAATTCGATCTTGGCTGCCAGTAGCGACTGCAGTTTTGCTGCCGTCGGGTTGAAATGAAACTGTTAATAAATCGATTCATGGATTATATCTGGCCCAGATGGGCTCATGAAAACCTGTTAGGGAGACGTACATGCCGTGAGATATGTCGAAATTACTTATAATGAGATCAAGCGTTGAATTCGCATTAGTCGTGGGTGCATTCACATTCCAAATTTTTAATCCAAATTCTTTTATCATTTCCTTGAAACGGGGGTTTCCTGTTTCAGTAATATTGTGATTGAGATCCCCCAGTATAAGTTTTCGCCTCTCTTCCTCGGAACATCTTGCGAGGAAGGACCGAATGCTAGCAATCGTAATACCAGGACTTGCGCACATTCCAGCAATTAGCATATTGTGGAGTTTTATGAGAGTTGCGTCCAAACAATCCTCCTTGTCTCCAATTCTGATGGATGCTGTTCCGCGAACATTGTTCATCTCCTGCTGCGACACCAGGCAGCAAGCTTCGCGGGCTATTCTTGTCGGCCCTATGCAGTCAGCACGTACAGCCGTGCGGTAGCCGTTGATATGAATTTCGTCTGCTGCCACTGACCAAGTCTCTCCGAGAAGTATTACGTCGCTCGCTGTGTAGACGGCGTCGTTCTCGATTTGGTCGCGGTGTTTTGCCAAGCTTTGCACATTGTGATATATAACCTGGACAGCGCTGTGCTCTGTTCGAAGAAATTGGAATGTGGGCTGCAGTAAGTGTTGCTCCTGCCGCCTTAGCTCGACCTGTAGCGGATCGTTGGGTTGCGATTTGTCGCGGTGTCTTAAATTCGCCGATTATATACAGACCAGAAAGCGACGTGACTCTGGATAGCGCAACGTAGAGCAGAGCGCGATTCATACGCTGTGCAGTGTGGAGAACCACAGACGGATATGTCTGACCCTGACTCTTGTGGATTGTCATTGCTTCCGCAGGTACCAATGGGAATTGTTTGCGTAATACTTGCAAATTTGACCCCTTGCTACGTTTGATCGGTACTATTATTGGCTCCAGCGGTGTCCTGTTCGTCGGGTAATGCTTGCGAATGCTAATGCTGCTGAACCTCCGGCGCATCTTCATACCCACCTCCTGCTCGTCGAATAGCATCCAGACATGTAGAGGTTTAGTCTCATTCGTTTCTCCCTGTCGACATTGTCCCATCTCCACTTGGAGTAGTCTTCCAGTAGCACCGTTAGTTAGGCTGTCACTGGTGTCCAAGTTGTATGTCATCATGTATCGCGCACCAACTTTCAAATATAACGTCCTTGGCATACCCACTGTTTGGTGAGTAGTTGTGCGTGCGCTACAAACACTTAGTAACATAACATTTTTGGTGCTTTCCGGCCCATCTCAAGCTACTCTGTCTGATGCATCGCAAGTTGTTCCAAATCCGGGCATTTCCCTTAGCACTTTATCATTCCATTTATCCACTTCACTGTTTTTGGCGAAAAGAAAAATTGGTTTCTGCGCAGCTGCTGCCTGAGGAAGCTCTGCAAATGTTCGAGACCGAAAGAGTGCTTCATCTGCTGCTGTGAGCTCCCCATCCGCTAAATGATTAAGTGCTTCCTTGAAGTGAGCTTCGTTTTGCCGCATCACCATCGTTAACTTGTAAACCTGAAAGAGATGCCATAAATTTGTCGCATTAATGTCAGTACGATCGCCCAACTTCTTCTTTCTTAGACATATGGCCATATTGCTCGAAAGTTTCAGTAGTTCAATCTTCTTGGCCATGAACAGGAGGTAGTCAGGCCGGTTAGCTACTCTACGGTCGTATCGCATTGCAAAAGATTTGGCAGTATCTGAATATGACATTGGGCGACCGCAGAATAGGGATGCAATTTTTCACCCCCGAAAATTGTCGGAAAGGAGAGGTATTCTGTATCCTCATCCAGCAGAATTAAATCGGTCTTTGTGCTTCTCCTGGAGCCATTCTTATGCCATGCTGACTTTCGTCCCCCAGCAGCATCGTTTCTTGCACACCGGGATTGAGTGGCTCAGCATCGTCGGTGTCTTCCTCATCTTCTTCTGCCTCAGTGTTTGGGTCGGCCAACCGGGGTTCATTGCGGTCGTATCTTGTAAGCCAATTATCCGAAATGTCAATGTTGTGGCTGCGATATAGTGATTGTTGACATAAATGCAGCGCAGCTTCCCAAACGCGTCTTGGGCGCACATTACCAGATATGTAATTTCCTCTGTACTCCATCCGTCTTGCTATGCGGACGTGCAACGTGGGTGTCAGTGGTGGCGCGGGGTAGCAGCGAAACCGTCGTGTCCACAGAAACGGGGATGTTAACAATTCCTCCCCTGCACCGAAATTGTCCGGTTGGTCCGTTGGATGGCCAAATTGTTTGGAAAATATGTCGGGCTGCTACGAGTCGCTCTTCCACTCTGGCGAGGTCCCGAACAGTGGGATGTACTGTTGGAAAAGCCAAACCGTTAGCTAGGCAGTAGCGTGGCTGTTTCCAAGCTTTTATGCTTTGGGCGCATGTTCTGCAGAAGAATGCTTCGTCGGTTTCCTGTAGGTAAAACACATTCTCTAAAAGTATCATTTTCGCCTCATTCCTACTGCCCGCACGTTGCAGCTCCGAAAGATTAAGAGTAGTAATCGACCGCTTGAATTCTAACCGCCCGCAGCAATTGCAGGCGTAAGTTGGACCCTCTTTTATTGAGGTTTCGTACATGATTAGAACAGCTGCATAACTGCTTCTTTGACGCTGTCGTGCTTCGCGGTCCCTAGCGCATTCTTCGTTCCTTGTCTCTGTGTCTGCTCTTCGGTTTTGCATTGCTTCAGCATTCGTAAGTCTCTCGTTTTCTCGGTACTCTTCATCTGTACCTCTTCGGTATCTCATTGCTTGAGCATTCTTAAGTCTTTCGTCTTCTCGGTACTGTTCGTCTGTGTTTCTTCGGTATCTCATTGCTTCCGCATTTAGCCGACGCTGAATCTCGTTGTACGTGGTATCCCGTTCCCTCCGAATTCTCATCGCCTCTCTGTTTATTCCTCTTTCACCCTGTCTGTAGGTAGGATTTGCCTGGCGTCGCATTTGCATGGTTTGGGTATTCGCTTGTCGTTCGCGATCTCTATATTCGGTTTGCATTTGCCTTCGAGATTGCATCGCTAGTCTATTAGCATCCCTTTCCCTTTCTCTGTATGCGTGGTCTCGTTCTCGCCGAATCCGTCTTGCCATATTATGAACTTCCCTCTCTTGTATCCGGTATTCGGTATTAGTCTGCCTGCGACTTCTCATGGCATTCCTGTTGGACATTCTCTCTCTTAGTGTGTGTCCAACATCGTTTCGGAGAATTCTCATTCTCCGTACTGCTCGTACCCTTCTCCCGTTCCCCGGACTTGGCTCGCTGCGTCGGATTATTTCGTTTGTTGCTGGTTGACTCGTCCGGTGGATGCGCGTGTGTGTCGTTTCGTATAGCGCTATTCCAGAGCCAACATCTGCAATAGTTGGAGACTACAGTACAGATAAATGAGAAGGAATGTTCTGTATGGATATTAAGTTTCACTCGTTTTGAATGTTCATTACAATAGTAATTTGGAAAAATTGACAACAGCTTTTAAAAAATTGATGAGCTACATTAACGGAAGTTACCTGACACTACAAACTGAGCACTGGGGCTTCTCCTCTGTGCTGTCATCTGCAGCTGTCGGATGCTCCGTGGGAAGCCGCTGCGACCGCTCTGTTTGTTGTGCAGCTGCATTCCGTACACCTTCATCGCGGATGTGAGCGTTTAAGCGCCGCTGACGTATCAGCGCGTTATTGCGGTGTCGCCTACGAGCACGACTTGCTAGTCGTTGTGCTCGAAACTGTCTTCTGCGTGGCATTAATGCGTGATTGCGCTGAAAGATGCGGCTACTTGTTTGAGAGCGTGGAAAAACGTAAATTAGTAAAAAGTGGGACGAAAATGAAGTTTGTTAGGCCGAGATTTTTCCCGGGAACATGAAATGTTTTGGAATGCTGACGCTCGTATCCGCATGCAAACGGTAAAGCGTTGCTTTGGCGAAACGTAGAAGTACATAAATACTTTATGCTCTTGCAATCACACGTCCATGTGCGTAGCCAGAAATTCATTTAAGCACTACAGATCCGCACATGAAAAGGGAACGTACTCAGCAAAACACTACATCTTGCTCGGTCTGGGTAT